AATAGGAAATCGTAACATTAAGAGGGAGAAAAAAAATCAATGAATATGACAATAGAAAAAAAACACACTTACACGCAAACATAACACACTCAAACATTTTGCCAGTAAAAAAAAAATAGAAAAAATCTTAAAGACTCACCAAGGAAATTGATAAAAGTTCCTGATTTTTTTTTTTTAATTTAAAGCATGTCACTTAAAGAAAAAGACAAATGAAGAAATAAAATTGTGAAACGAGAGTCTTTACGTATTTTGATATAATGAATACTAATAAAACTTTCAGAAGACAAAATAAAAATATTTTATCAATTTAATACTAAATCACATGCTATTGATATCAACATAAAAATTAATTAAGAATTTTACAAGTTGTTTCAATAAAAATATACTTAAGTGTCAATTTTAATTAGATATTCCTAAGAAACCAATAAAATTGTACAGAATAAAATGCTTGCTCATAACAAAAGTATAAGGTATCGAGAAAAGTTAATTTGAAACTTATGCAATTATTATTCATTGAAAACATAATTAAGAATAAAACTGAAATTCCCAGAATATAACTTCAAATTAAAGAAAAATCATTTAATAAAACAATATTCTACCAATTTCACTTGCAAAATCTTAATTAAAATACTGCATTAAAAAACCTTCAAAGAAATATATTTCACAATTAAAGAGTTCATTTCAGTTATTTGTAAATATTTCTCTTTTCTTTTACATTCCTTCACCAATAAACAACAGCAAAAATCTTAATAAATATTTGTAGTTGAATAATAAAAAAATATCGCAGCTTTTTTAACCATCCAATAATTTCTTATACAATTTGTTCCACTCTTACTTGCAACTTTTGTCCGCCACTGACATTTTAAGGGTTAAAACGACATTTTGTAAAACCTTAAAACATTTAGTTTTCTTTAAAAAACAAAAGCCACTTAAAAGTTTGTGTTTCTTCTTATGAAATTTCTTTTGCATTCTTTTTAAAATTTTCAACACTTTGTACAATATTCATTGTTTATTCAAATGAATAAATGAAAACTTGCTGAAAAAACGAATTCAGAATAATAACGCAGTAAAAGAGAATTTACGCTGAACCATATCAAAAAGGTAGAAAAGCAAACGAAAAACAGTTTATTAAAATGATAAAATTACAAATGTAAAGTTTTTATATCAAGAGCTTAAATGTTAACGTTAGAAACATCGAGAATTTTGGACAAATTAAAAAAAATGCTTTAAAATTTATCTTTAGAAAAAGCTGCTAAAAACTGACAAATTTTCTTTACAAAAAGATTCCTAGAAACTGACAACTTTTCTATAGAAAAATTTGCTCAGATTCTGATATTTCTATAAAAAAATTTGGTAAGACTATGATGATTTTTGTATTCTAAAAGTTGATCAGATTCTCAAAACTTTTGCATAGAAAATGTTGTCCAGAAACTTACTACTTTTCTATGTAAAACGTTGCTCAGAAACTAACAACGCCTCAGTAACCGTCAACTTTTCTATGTAAAAAGTTGCTCAGAAACTGACAACTTTTCTGTGTAAAAAGTTGACCGAAAACTGACAATTGTTTACTTAGAAAAGTTGTTCAGTAACTGACAACTTCTCTATGTAAAAAGTTGCTCAGTAACTGACAACGTTTTTATGCAATAAGTTGCCACAGTATCTGACAGCTATTCTATGTAAAAAGTTGCTCAGTAAGTCACAACTTTTCGATTGTAAAAAGTTGCTCAGATACTGACAACATTTCTATGTAAAAAGTTGCTCAGTAACTGACAACTTCTCTATGTGAAAAGTTGCTCAGTAACTGGCAACTTTTCTATGTAAAAGTTGCACAGTAAATGACAACTTTTCTTTGTAAAAAGTTGAACAGTAACTGACAACATTTCTATGTAAAAAGTTGCTCAATAACTGACAACTTCTCTATTTAAAACGTTGCTCAGAAACTAACAATTTTTCTATAGAAAACTTTCAGAAACTGATAACGTCTTAGTAACTGTCAACTTTTCTATATAAAAAGTTTCTCAGAAACTAACAACTTTTCTGTGCAAAAAGTTGACCAAAAACTGACAAGTGTTTACTTAGAAAACTTGTCAATTACTGAGCAACTTTCCTATGTAAAATGTTGCGCTGTAACTGACAACTTTTATATGTAAAAAGTTGTTCAGTAACTGACAACGCTTCTATGTAATAAGTTGCTCAGTATCTGACAACTATTCTATGTTAAAAGTTGCTCAGTAAGTGACAACTTTTCTATGTAAAAAAGTTGCTCAGTAGCTGTCCACAATTCTATGTAAAAAGTTGCTCAGTAACTGGCAACTTTTCCATGTAAAAAATTTACCAAAACTGACAAGAGTTTACTTAGAAAAGTTGGCAGTTACTGAGCAACTTTCCTATGTAAAAATTTCCCTAGTAACTGACAACTTTTCTATGTAAAAAGTAGCTCAGAAACTAATAACTTTCTATAGAAAAAGTAGCTTAGAAACTAACAACTTTTTTATGAAAAAAGATTCAGAAAATATTCAGAAAAGCTTCTTCAAATTAGCACAAATATATACATAATTCATGTTGAGCAGGTGAGATTTAATTTCAAGTGAAATATTTTTAATTTAAATATTTCAAGATATATATTTGAAAGTTGTTCACTGTATTTAATATCTTCCACTTCCTTAAAACTAAAGAAATCACTTCCATATAAAAAAAAAACTAAAAACTTTATTATAAAAAGTAAATTTAAAAGGCGCCGCAAAGAACAACGGAATGAAGCATTAAAAAGCCCATCCTTTTACCAAACTACATAGACAAGGATACTCATACAAATGAACATCCACTACTGCCAGCAGTGTGCACAATCGCACAAAAATAAACATTTTTTTCCTCCTTTTCTTTAAGTATTTTATTAAAGCCTTTTTGTATATAATTTTCTGTTTTCCATTCAATAAATTAACGTTTTCCGGTATTTCTTTCCTTTTCATGTTATTTTTTGCCAGTACTTGAAACTTCCGCCGCATCAGTTAAAATATCAAGAAGAGACGTGGTGGCAAATTCGAATGGAGCAGCAGAAACAGTAGCTGATGTAGTGAAACAAGTAATAATACAGAGTAGTGCGGATGGTAGGTTAAATGAGAGGCAGTACAAACGACAACACCCGCCAGAACAAATATCAGAACAACAACTACAAAAATTACCACAAGCTTACAATCATCATCAGCCACAGTTATATTTAAGTCGTGAAGTAGAACAACAACCACTGGAGAATGAAATGGAGGAGGACAAGAGCAATCATATTTTTCAACCTCAAATTCAAACTGAATCGTTGCCAGTTTACCAGCAACATGAAAGAGACCAACAACTACAACTATACCACCAACAACAGAAGCAGCAGCAGCAGCAACACTCAACAACTCAAGCAACATCCTTTAGTAATGGAATGGCACTTGAAACCACGTATAATCACACCTTTCAAAGTCTTTCAATCATTGATGGCGACCTAACAGTAGCCGTTGATACAAGTCAAAATCTTATGGCTGTTGAAGAGGAAATGCTTGTGGCTGCGGCCGGCGGTGCGGTCGGTGTGGGCAGCAGTGCCTTTAGTCTAGGCAATCATCTTCATCTGCATAACAGTAATAATGGTTTGGGATCTTATGACTCTACTGCCATAGGGCTAGATGGTATCGATATGATGACACATAATACCGAAACAAATTCAATGCCAATCTTTGACTTTGGTATGCCACGTAATATAACAGCTCGCACCGGTCACACAGAGGCGATAATTAAATGTCGTGTCGATAGGCTGGATGATAAATCGGTAAGTTAAACCGCATCTCAAGTAAAGAGTTTTTTGTTTGCACTCGTAGATAATTTAAAATGAAATAATTTTGCTTGTTAAATATTTATATAAAATATATAAAAACAGCATAGCTGAAGTATAAAGCCAACACATTTTTTCTTAGATATTTATATATATTACACTATGCGACAAAAATAAATACCTGGGAAGTGATACTATTTTTCTGAAAGGCCGATCCGAGTAGAACAAGAATATGTTTTTGAAATTTGCCAAAAACCTCCAAAATCTTGAGTTACGGGTAAAAAACCGGTTCGCACCTTTAGGCACTTATAAGTCAGTAACTTAGTTAAATCTGGACCGATTTTAAGTTTCTCCACGGATTTAGTAAACAGAAGATGACATATATAACGTTTAAGTAACCTGGAGAGATATGTGTGAATTTTTCGAGGATCGGCTAATATTTTACCCTATCCCCCATATAAAGCATCCTTCAGAAAATAAGTTTGTGAACAATTTTGTATTAAGAAAAAGATGAATAACGTCGTCAATTTCTAACGGATTTTTAAAAACAAAATTGCGTTTTTCTCATAAATAGACATGGGTTTCTAATCAATTAATAAATAGTACTGTTCCTATATAAAATACTTTCAGAAATCATCTCCAAACTTAAACAACGGTGCAAAACTTAAATAAAAAATATGTTTGCTGATGAAATTCACACATATCTCTCCAGGTTACTTAAACGTTATATATGTCATTATAAAGGCCTCAGCTTCTGCTTTCTAAATCCGTGGAGAAACTTAAAATCGGTCCAGATTTAACTAAGTTACTGACTTATAAGTGCCTAAAGGTACGAAAACCCGGTTTTTTACCCGTAACTTAAGATTATGGAGGTGTTTGGCAAATTTCAAAAACATATTCTTGTTCTACTCCCATTCACCTTTCAGAAAATTTGTAACACTTCCCAGGTATTTCAATTTTTGTTTATTTTGTCTCACTGTGTTATCCTTAAAATACTTAAGGCTTAGGCGGCCGTGTTGGTTCATTTTGTGGGTGTTAAATATGTATTCATAAATTTGTATATCTATTTTTAGGTCTGTCCATTTGTCTGTCTAAATATTGTGGCTCTTATTATTAACAGTTTTAATAAAACCGTGGTTTATTTATAAACTCCTGCTGCTTATTTTAAAGACTAAAATACTTTCATTATAAACAATTCTTTATAGAATTTTAATAGATTTTACACACGAATGTTCTGTACAGAACTTTTTTATAGAAAAAGTTCATCTGATTCAGATAACTTTTCTATAGAAAAAGTTCATCTGATTCAGATAACTTTTCTATAGAAAAAGTTCATCTGATTCAGATAACTTTTCTATAGAAAAAGTTCATCTGATTCAGATAACTTTTCTATAGAAAAAGTTCATCTGATTCAGATAACTTTTCTATAGAAAAAGTTCATCTGATTCAGATAACTTTTCTATAGAAAAAGTTCATCTGATTGAGATAACTTTTCTATATAAAAAATTCATCTGATATGAAATATAGCTCTTCTTCAGAGAACTTTTCTGTACAAAAAGTTGCTCAGCTTTAGACAACTTTTCTATCCAAAAAGTTTCTCTGTTTAATATAACTTTTTTTTTACAGATTTTGTTTCTCTATATCATTCAACATTTCTGTAGAAAAAGTTTATCTGATTCAGACAACTTTTCCATAGAAAAATTACACTGCTACAAAAATCCCACAAGGGCTAGATTTTTCTTTTTTTAAAAAGACCCTCATTGTTCTTAATGAAAAATTTATAATAATTTATTTAAAATAAAAGCCCTTGATAATAACGAATAAAATGGTTTATAAAAAATATTTCAATATTTTACAGGTTTCCTGGATACGTAAACGTGATCTGCATATATTGACTGTTGGCACAGCCACTTACACGTCTGACAAACGATTTCAGGTAAGTGAATAACGATAATTTACGTGTGTATGGAAATTTTCCTACTGCTACTATTTACAGTACCTTTAACAACCTTAATATGAAAAATTTCTGTTACTTACATACATATATATTTTGCTGTTTATTTTATATATATATATATTTTTTTTGATAAACGAATTCACATACACCCACTTCCCGAGAACAAACAACCAAACACATACAATTACAAGCATCAGGCATGAAAATATTTTACATGCACAAATAAATTCATACACCCGCAGCAATTTCATATCCTACACACAAGTACACTTATTTTCATCCTTAAATTTGCATACATTGATGAACAGCGGTAATAATGATGATGTTGCTGACGATGATCATCATGATGATGTTAACGTTAGCGATTAATATGTTGATGTGTTCGTTTATTTGGGTATTTGTATGTAAAAAGGATGTTTCTGTGCACCAGTGTTTGTGTCTATAGCTTTGTTTTGAGTGATGAAATTCATTTTACTCGCATTTCCGTTTTTCACTATATTTAAATTACTCAATTTTATTAATTGTCCATGATGGATGAATGGATTTTTATATCACACATGTGCATAATAAAATTTCATCATGACAGTTCAGTATTTTGGCTTGTATTTGATGGATGCAATTTTACAATTTTATTCATTATTTTCTGTCTTTTATTTTGTCGTATTTTTTTTTTTCGTTTCTTGACTGTGTAAAAATTTACACAATAAATTGCGTAAAACGTAATTTTGAGGAATACAGAAAATACTCATGCATATAAAATACATTATTACATTTTGGTTTATTTATTTATCATAAATAAAATGTAATGAGGTCAATTAAACAGAAGGTTATAATCTACAATGAGAAATAAAGTTGGTTAACTTTAGTTTTCTTGCTTATGTTCTTTAAGAAAATGAAAAGAATAGGGTAGTACTTTTATTGATGTCATTCGGCTTCCTAATAATATGTTTGGTAAGAAGATTATAAGTCAATTTTCTCTCCGATTCAGACATGTTTATTGCAGAAAAGTCCTCTCTGATTCAGACAATTTTCTATGGAAATGTCTTCTTTTTATTTCGTAGAAAAAAACTCATTTTTTAAATTATTACGTTGAATAAGAGAAATTTTTCAAAAAAAAATCCCATTTGGTTCAGACAACTTTTCTGTAGAAAAGTCTACTCTGACTCAGAGAACTTTTCCATTGAAAAGTCCTATCTGATCTAAACAACTTTCAAATATATTCTAAAGAAAAGTGCTTTCTAATGCAAACAACTTTCCTATAGAAAAGTCCTGTCTGATCTTTGGAAATTTAATTTTTAACTTAATTTTTTTATCTTGAATGATCGATGTTCATATTAAGGACATTCCCATTGAAAACAACTTGATATATATTTTTTTTTTAATTTCCCACAGATTTATTTTCTTATAAGAATATGAGTTTAAGATTTCATCTTTACTCTACGTGTTCTCATAATATATTTTATATTCAGTTATATTTGCATAAAATTTTATATTCTACATATTTATATATTTATTTCCATTTCTGCTTCTCATCTTAAATTGTTATTTTAAATATTTAACTTCAGTGTTAATTTTTTCTGTATTTCATTATTGTTGCTGTAGGTGACAGAATCAAAAGATTCCCGTGAATGGACGCTACATGTGAAATCTCCGCAAGCACGTGACAGCGGTATTTATGAGTGTCAAGTAAATACGGAACCAAAAATTTCGATGGCATTTCAACTTAATGTTATCGGTAAGTATATGTCATTGTCATTTTTATTATTATTGTTGTTGTTTCTCAATAAACTGGAATTGTTAAAATGAAATTTAAATATTGCGGTAGGAAAATGTACGAGAAAATGTCTGCAATTTGAAAAGTATGAACAAAAATATATTTTGAATACTTTTGTATACTTCAAAATGTCAATTTAAATTTTATCTTAATATTATTTTAAAATGGACCATATGAGCCGGCCTTTAAAAACATGAAAATGTGTTAAAACAGTAAAAATGTTAAGTCTTATATGCTAATAATTGTCAAAATAAATTTAATGTTTTATTTTACGCTATTCATTTTTATTTTCTTGATAATTGTGCATTGATATTGTGAATATTTTGTAGGTAATTGTAAAGAATTTTATGAGAGTGTTAATAATGAAAGTTACAAATTATTGTTAAGGATAACAGGAATAATTGAGAAATATTTACTAAGCAACTTTTCTGAGCAACTGGTTCTATACAAAAGTTATCAGAAGCTTTCAGGGAAAAGCTGTCAGAATTGGTGAACTTTTTCTATAAAAAAGTTGCTAGAATCTGAGCAACTTTTTCTATAGAAAAGTAGTCAAAATCTGGGCAACGTTTTCTATAGAAAAGTTGTCAGAATCTGAGCAACTTTTTCTATAGAAAACTTGTCAGAATCTAAGCAAGTTTTTCTATAGAAAAGTAGTCAGAATCTGAGCAAGTTTTTCCATGGAATAGTAGTCAAAATCTGAGCAAGTTTTTCTCATAGAAAAGTTGTCAGAATCTGAGCAACTTTTTCTACAGAGAAGTTGGGAGAACCTGAACAACATTTTCTACAGAAAAGTTGTCTGAATCTAAGCAATTTTTTTCCATAAAAAAGTAGTCAGAATCTGAGCAACTTTTTCTATACAAAAGTCGCCTGAACCTGAGCAATTTTTTCTATAGAAAAGTTATCAGAATCTGAGAAACTTTTTCTATAGAATAGTTGTCTGAATCTGAGCAATTTTTTCTATAGAAAAGTTGTCAGAATGTGAGCAACTGTTTCTATAGAAAAGTTGTCAGAATCTGAGCTATAGAAAAGTTGTCAGAATGTGAGCAACTTTTTCTATAGAAAAGTTGTCAGAATGTGAGCAACTTTTTCTATAGAAAAGTTGTCAGAATGTGAGCAACTTTTTTTATAGAAAAGTTGTCAGAATGTGAGCAACTTTTTCTATAGAAAAGTTGTCAGAATGTGAGCAACTTTTTCTATAGAAAAGTTGTTAGAATCTGGGCAACTTTTTCTATAGAAAAGTTGTTAGAATCTGGGCAACTTTTTCTATAGAAAAGTTGTCAGAATCTGGGCAACTTTTTCTAAAGAAAAGTTCACAGAATCTGAGCAACTCTCCTATAAAAACTTTTGTCAGAATCTAAGCAACCTTTCCTATAGAAAAGCTATTTGAATCAGATAAACTTCTCCTACAGGAATGTTCTCAATATTCGAGTATTTATTCCTATATAAAAGTTTAGAAAACTCTTTCATTTTAAATTAATTTTGTTATAAATTTATTGCGGAAAAAATATTAATGCAAACATTATATCAACTTTAACATTTTTGCTTCTAATAAAGTATTATTAAAACTCATCTCTGTTTAACTGCAATTGACATTATTTTTTCATAATTAAAATTGTAGCAAAAATTAGCTGCTTTAATAAGTTGCAAAAAAGCCAAAAAAAAAGTTGTGTATAGAATGGTAAAACTTTGTCTACCACTTCAAATTAATCACACATGCAAACATAAAATTTTGGTATATTAATTAAATTATCAAAAGTGTTGGTTGTGAGAAAAATGTATTTTTAGTACATTTGTTAAAGCAACATATATGTATATACATATAAAAATTTGCAATATTTTTTGATTCATTACAACAGTTTGTAAATATTTGGAGTTGCTATTTCGCTTAACTTACCGGTATCGAATCGAATTTATAAAATCTTCTTAGTGATGTATTAAGTAATATATAACTTATAGAACGAATTTATAATTTCTCATACCTAAGATTTAATAAGTCGTTCTGCATAATTAATCACTTTCCTTTATTGTTATTGAAAAATTATGCCATCATATATACATATACATATACATATTTATTATTCTGTATAATTTCTCTGCCTTTATCGTCGTAGTCAGATAGACAGACATCTACTCGTAGGCGAATATAAAATACGTCAAATGAAACTTTCAGCATATTTTGCATTTTATTTTAGCATTTTGTTCCATTTTCTATATTGCATTGCCTTCCCACAATTCTTTATGTTTCAACCATGTTTCTTTGTGCGTTGTTGTTTTCTTTATGGGAGTTCATCCTGACGTATGAGTGATATATGAATTTCAAATTGCAATTACAAGTTGCTCATACGTCTTTGGCAAATGTAATAAAATACACGTTTATTTACTTTTCTATTTAGCTTTGTTTTAAAATATATTTTTTTCCATTTTGCCATATTATTTCTAAGCAATAAACTTTAAAATGAATAAAAAAGAAACGAATTGCAAGTACCTGATATTACTACATGTAACTATACCAACAATATGAAAGTATGTATGTAAGTATATCATTTAAACATTATTACATATGTCTCATGTTTGTGTATAGAATATAAGTCAAGTGGAATCTTGAATACATACATTTGAAAAAGTGTTTTATATACAAGTACATAAGAGTTTGCAACAAACACATCCTAGTATATACATACATAAACACACAGTTACTAGAATTTTTTTTGTGTAATATTTTTTTATCCTAAACTTCAAGTATCATTAACATAAATTAAAAACTTGATTTCTTTGAAAAACAAAAGCACACACATTACTTACATATACTAACTTAATATATGTATTTTCACTTAGTCTCTGGTTTTATGCACAACTCATGTATTTATATAGAACACATTTGACACACATGGTTGGCACACAGTTGGGGTTCGATACACCCCTACATATATATACCAAGAACTTTTATAAGTTTTATTTTTATCATTATAGTATTGATTGACACAACGATCGAAAGATGTTCAGTCTATAGAATAGACAACAGAACAATTTATAGACCAGATTATAGTACAGACTATAGACTAGAGTATCATCCAAATTATAGACTGAATTATACTCCAGACTATAGATTAGTCGAATCTATAATTAGACGAAAGACTTCTCTATAGGCTAGACTATAGTCCAGACTGTAGAACAGACTATAGTACATATTATGGACTAGACTATATTCCAGACTATAGTCCAGACAATATATGAGACTTTATTGCAGACTAAGACAAGGCTATAATTCCGACTATAGTACAGATTATAGTCCTGACTATAGACTAGACTATATTCCGGTTTGTGGACTAGATTACAGTCGAGACTATGTAGTAGAACATAGTCCACTTTATACACTAGTTTAAAGTTCAGACTATATACTAGAGTAAAGTTCCTACTCTAGACTATAGACTAGAATATAGTCTAGACTATAGACTAGACTAGAGTCCAGACTATAGACTAGACTATAGTTCAGACTATAGACTAGACTATAGTCCAGACTATGGACTAGATTAGAGTCCAGACTATAAACTTGATTAAAGTCCAGACTATAGACTTGATTATAGTCTAGACTATAGACTGCAAACTATTGTCTAAATTCGCCAGCCTATATTTTCGAGTATGTGGCAGATTATAATCTAGACTAGATTAATCAAAAAGTCAAATACCCGAAATTATTAAAATACTAGGTTTAAACTTGCATGTCTGTATATCTCTACATGGGTGAGTAAATGTGTATAGGTTTAATAAAAAACGAAGTAAGTTTACCATTTGTAGACAAGTAGTAGAATAAATTGACAAAATATTGTCAAGAACACATGTATGAATGTATAAAAAAAAGAATGTTGCCTCATCGAGTCATTCACATTACAAAAACATACTTTCACATTTAGTCAAGCACAGTGGTATTAAATTACATGCTTGAGTATCGCAAATCACTTAAAAATAGATTAGTATTCAAAACATGTGTTTTGTATTTGATTTTTTTAAATTATTATTCTAAATAGATGTATTTGTAATATACGTGTTAGGGAAAATAATTGGATTGTAAACAAAATATCTAAAGATGTATAAAGACATATTGTTTTACCAACGAAATTTTTAAACCAGTATAGCTGTTAAAAAAGTTCTTTATATATGAAATGAATATTAATATATCAAAGGAAAGTGTTTTTTAAATATTCTCAATAATATTTTTTGAAAAAAATTTTAATCTGGCAAACTGTTGCTTTCTATCTACTGTGCCAATTTAAAATTTTATCAAATGCTGTTTTTGGCTGCACAAATTCATTACGATTGTCTAAGAATGTTATTAAAGTACTTTGTTAATACAAACCGGATGCACAAATGCAGACTAAGGTGCATTAGTATAGAATATACATATTTTAACGATATTAATTTTATATTATTTTGCTTTTATTCTGCGGACTAGACAACATACTAGATTATCGACTAAATTATAAACTATACTAACAACTAGACCGTAGATTATATTAACAAGTAAGAAACTATAGTCGGGCGTGGCCGACCATATGATAACCTACACCAATTACGAATATTAAATGTTATTCATTTCAATAATAAAGCATTTATGTAGAATTTTACATTGGTTCCAAATAATGTCTGTTCTTGTATGGTTGTATGCTGCATAGATCATTAGATCTAGAGAACAATTGATATATAAAATTGCGAGCCGTAGCGTGCACTGCAGGTTTACATGGACACAAAAACGGACATAATTTAATGGAATCAGAAAGTGATTCCGAACCGACTGGCTAATATAATTGAGCAAATTTTGCCGATTTTTGATAAATAGTAGTACATTAGACGTAGTTAAGAGATAATTATATATTAGACTTAGTTATGAGCTAAAGGCCCAAAATCGGTAGGTCTGGTTGTAAGGGAGCTAGGGCAAACATTGGTTCGATCTTTATAAAATTTGT